TCTCTAAAATCAAAGAACGAATCTTAGAAACAAAAGGAGGTTCAGAGCAGAACATATTTATTGGGTGAAAGAAAGCTTCTGTCTGAGAGAAAGACAGAAGGGGGCCACCAAGCAGGTTGTGCCCAGGAAGCTGGCTCTTCCAGGGACTTTTATAGAGTAAAACCATGTGGTGAGGCGAGTCTAAGGTGGTGAAGACATGGGAACTCGCTTAGGTGAGCATAAGGTGGGACGAAACTGTGGTCAACCAATGAGGTTACAAGCACCATTGCTCAGGTCAAATTTATTAAATCTAGTACCACATGGAGTCACATAGCAAGCGGGCATGAATACGGGACAGGATCCCTTCCTGTTGGGGGTTGGGTTAGTGACTCTTCAGGGCTCTTTCAAGGTGATTGATACCTGCTTAGAATATCAATCAAGGGGCTGGGAGATAGCTCAGCAGAATAAGCCTTTGCTTGGCAAGCACAAGGGCCTGAATTCAATCTCTGGTTCCAAAGGAAAAAAAAAAAAAGAATATCCATCAAGGGCGAACAAATAGCTCAGCAGATTAAAGCGCCTGCAAGCAGGCACAGGGGCCTGGGGATTCTATCCCCAGGCCTGCTGGGCCTCCCTTGCAGACCCCGCCCCCAGAGACTGGGCGTGGTGCCTGCTCTTGGGAGGCTGTAAACAGGTGGATCACTACGAGTCCGATCTAGTAATGAGACTCTGAACACCCTGTATAGCCTTCTCTAAAATGAAAAATATAAATAAATAATAAAAATAAATAGAGTACCAATCACTGATGCCCATCCCTAGGGAAGTATGTGACTGCATTTGTTTACTTTTGTCTTGAGGTCTGGCCCATATAAGAGTGTCTGACTCTTCCAAGTTGCAAAGTCACCTTGTCTTCCATACTGTCCTTGAGGGCCTGGCCCTGTCTGACGGCCTATAATATTTCTATCTAATTCAGCTGCCTACAGCATTCCCACCATGCCCAGCTGGGTATGGATGTTTCTGACACCTGCATGAAGGTGACTTTATGCGAGTTACTGGGCCCAAGTGCATCCTTGCTGGCCTAGTCTGGGGTCACCTTGGTGCCCTCACCCCAAGGACCCTTTCATCCACTGGGTCTGTGGGCTGGTGTGGACTCCCTGAATTTTTGCAGCTGTATCTGGCAAGTGCTCTTTCGACCAAAAGTACAAGTGCAGCTCACTGCGGAATGAAGTCCAAGCCTCGCACCCAGCTGTTCTCAGCATATCTATCTCCTGGTGACACGGGAAGGGGGGCAGTTCACAGCCTGGCATCTGGGCAGGTTCGATAACACAAAGCTGAAAGGGGTCAGAAGAGCCAGGCTTGCTAAACCACGCCTCTGTTTCAGCACTTTCCAACACTCACAGATCTTTCCAGAGCTGTCTGCCCTTTTGCTTAGCTGGACTGTCACACAAGATCTGGCTGCCCCCCGGCTCAGTCTCTCTGCAAAACATATCCAGCCCCCTCCAGAGAAGCTCCAAACACAGACGCCCTTATGCATTTTCCTGGAAATATTCTATAGCAGCAGCCTGGGAAAGCTTCCAAAAGTTTCCCTGAACCAAAGATAACAACAATAATAATAGAGAGGTGAGGGAGGCGAGAAGCTTAGGCAAATGTTCCTGGTGATTAATGCTTAAGGGAACAGACCAGACTGTAGGAAAGGGGAAAAGGGAAGGGGTTTCCAGGTCAACTTAAACATTTGTGCTGTTTTCCTGAAAGGCCACTTCAAAATAGTTGGCCTGTCCCAAAGTAAATTTTTGGAATCTGCCCAGAGGGCAAAAACCTACCCTTCCTCCCTCCATCTGGAAACTTTTCACACCAGAAGGTCCAGCGCATTCTTGAGTTCTGCTCTAGAAAGAAGGACTTGCCCAACCTTCCCGGAGGGCGTCCTGCCTCCCTCACCCTGCTGACCTATAGGGAGCTCTGTTTGCTCTACCCTGAGCAGCTGCATTCCAGCTGTGGAGCTATTAGGAAACATTCAGCAATCCTCTGGCTGAAAGGTAAGTGAGGAATGGGTTGCATTGACAGGAGGGGCAGGCTTTAATCTGTAAAGTGAGAAGCCCCAGGAGGGGGCTTAGGGTGGCCCTCACAATCCATTGTGCAGAGAGCCTCTCTGTCACGGGTCTTAGAGATAGGAGCTCTGACTAGACTGACACCCCCGCACCCCCCCCACCCCCCCACACTGTGCAGTGCAAGGAAGGAGAGTCATCTGGGCATAGTGATGCATCCCATAATTGTATAATTGTAGCACTCAAGAGGCTGAGGCAGGAGGATCATGAGGGTTCCAGGCGGACTACACAGCGAGACCCTATCTCAAAAAAACAAACAACCCAAACAAACAAAAAAGGGAACTCAAACATTGTAAATAGAGGCCGGGAAGATGGCTCAGTAGGATAAGCACTTGACCGGCAAACGCAAGAATCTGAGTTCAATCCCCGGTTCCAAAAAAAAAACTGTCCTACAAATTTGTTTTGCACTGATCTCATTGCAATTTGTCTCCTAAAAATATTATGGGGAAAAAAAAAAAAAAAACCCATTGTAAATATATATTATATATTCAAAATAATGTGAAGATTTAGAAATATATTCACTTACTTGTGAGCTCTGTGTTTCTAATTAAAGCATAACATCTTGCTTAAAACAAGCCTTTGAAACAACAGGATAAAAAGAACCTTAATTTAGGGATTTGCCTGATAGAACCTTAATTTAGGGTCTTGACTTCCCATCAGGTGGCAGCCAGCAGGTTAGAGGGTGCAGGGGGGTGACAGAGGTTCCTTGTCCTTCTAAGGATGTTATCGCTACCAGAGAATTCAAACCAGGAGGTTGGGGGACAACCAGAACCTGTAAATATATACATACTGGACTGGATGTGGTGGCTCATGCTTGTAATCCTGGTGGGGAGGCTGAGGCAGAAGGGCCACAAATTCCAGCCCAGCCTAGGCAATTTAGTGACTTAGGAAGAAGCTGTCAAAATTAAAAAAAAAAAAAAAAAAAGGTAAAGGGCTGGGGATATAGCTTAATGCGACGGCTTTTGGTTTATACCCAAAAAAAAAAAAAAAAAAAACAAAACAAAAAAAAAACCTGAAAACACTATACTGGTCAGATGAGGCAGGTGAATGGCCTCTGGACAGCCAAAGCCCTCAGCTGCTGTCCGCACAAGTTCCCCAAGTGCCCCTGGCTGAGGTCCCCGGCGAGGCCACAGCGCTAGCACAATATCTGAAGCTGCTGGCAGTCCACTCAGGCCATCTACAGTGCTCCCTACTACCCGGCTCTGTCCCAGTGGCCACAGCTGCCTGGCTGGCTGCACACTGCCTCATACTGGAGAGTCTGTGCCTTTGCACTAGCATGGCTGGCCACCTAGCAGACAGTATCCAGAGTGAGGAACTCAACCAAGCCTTCCACCAGCTCCTGGTGCACTCTGGAGAAACTGAGACAGCAGCACACCCCTCCCCACTGGGGGAACCCAGATTGAACTCAGGCCCTTGCGCTTGCCAGGTAAGCGCTTATTCTACTGAGCCATCTCCCCTGCCCCTCCACTTCTTCCTGATTCTACTATTCCTATTCAAGCACTCCTTTCTACCATCCTAGGTCATGCCCCAGGTCATCCTACCAGTTCCCACATGGACTGCCACAGCTCAGCCTACAGGGCAGCCACGGAGTGTACCTCCAGCAGTACCCCAGAGGCTATGAGACCCTAAGAAGGAAAGTACCAGGAAACCCCTCCATGCCCTCCCTGCCGAGAAACAATGGCTTCCAAGGTCTAAGCCAGCTACACTCGCAGTGCTCAAAATAGACTCATTGTCCTCTTTCGCAACATCCAGGAATTTGGTGAAACTCATCATTTTTCAGGTTACCGATAATGCAAGTTTGGAAACTGAAACAGGAAGGAACACAGGCTGAAAAAGCTTTTATCCAACCCACGGCGTTTTTCTCTCCAGATGTACGATAGTTGTTGCTTTTTTTCCCCCCCCCAGCTGCACTTTGGTGGGGTTAAAATTAGCTAGCAGCATTCTGGTCACATGCTAGACAACAAAACAAAAGGGAATTGTTCCCGTTGGCACTCCTGAACTGGCCTAGGACAGACCTTCCTAACATATGGATTTCTGGGAAGCTGGCTCTTAGGGTCCTGGTATACAGGGGCCACGCCATGGACACCCCTTAGTGATGACCCCAGCTGTAGCCAAGGAGAACACCAACCATGTCATGGCTGTTTGAAATCCCAGGCTTTCCCATGTGGGAAGCACTCGAGACCCAAAAATGGCTTTGCAAAGCCTCTCACTGAAATCCAATAAGCGAGCACTGCAAGGCCACAGAGAGAGAATGGGTAACATCTGAAATGCGAACCTTCGTGGCAGTTGGCTGTGGCTAGCTGGATTAAAACATGAAAAGAATACATCTGAGCTATAGGTGGCGAGCACTTAGGACAGATTCTTTATCTCTAGACCCTGATGATAGGTTCACATCATGGGCTGCTTTGTTCTTCCAGCTTAAAACTGTCACCAGGAGCCCTGGGTTAAAAATACAGCCTCTGATTCACACAGTCAGGAAACATGTCTTGTGCTCGGCACAGAAACATGTCCGTCAACCTGGGGAAAGAGTCACCACCAGCAATCCGCCTTTGGCTTGCCAAGGCTGAGCAGCTGCCAGGGCCCAAGCCCAGCTGCCCGGCTGTCTGGGAAGGGTGGGGGTGCTTTTTAAATCACCTGATTTCTGCCTCCAACTCCACTTTAATTCCAAGCTGAAAACCCATCTCAAAATGTCTTAAAGGCCAACTGTTTCTAAAAATTGCTTTTTAACACTAACCTTTCAGCTCTGTGCCTCCCAGCAAGGTGAAGCAGATGGCTTTTGTTGATTAATTTATTTATTTGGAAAGGGCTACTCTGGAATCAGGAAATTCCAGTGAGACAGAGCGTGCTGCCCTGACCATGTCTGCCCTGACAATCATGAGCAGACGCCCAGACAGAAGTAGGTACAGAAAAAAACTGCAGCTGAACCCCATGAAATGGGGACATTTTCATTCTTCTCTCTGTCCTGGCCTCCTTAGGAAGGAACACCTTGTCTGGTTAGACACTTGTATTCAAGGATTTGTGTGAGCTTTGGAGGGTCTGCTTTGTCCAAAGGGCTTCAAGAACCAAATAGGCCTCTGACTGTCACCTCAACTTGAAGCCCTCATTGTACAGGCAGCCCCAAACAGAACTCCCCAGACCACAACCCCTTGCACACAAAGTCCTCTTTAATTAACATAACACCAGGTTTCAGTGGAACTGCCTTAAGGTGTGAGAAAGTATGCAAAGGTCTGAAAGCTGAAACCCTAGGTAAACAGTGCCCTGAAATATATTTAGCAGAAAATACTAAAAGCCACAGGAAAAATACATTTCCTTCCCGGGATGCCAAAGAAAGTGTAGGTTCAGGAAGCCTTCAGGAAATAGTGAGTGAAGCAGCAAATCTGCTCACCTTTCTACCCCTAGTGCAAATAAATTTCTAAACCTCCTTGGTTTCCATAGGCTTTGGTTACAGTAGAGTATTTCATTTTCTTCCCCATTAGACAGGCCACCCAGAGAACTGGCGTGACAGACCTGAAAAATATACTAAATCTGAATAGCATGATTTTGTTTGTGCATACTGAATCCTGTTGTGTTTCAAATGGCAGTTCCTGCAAAATGGGGGGCCGGTGATCCCCACTGCAGCCGCCTCACACGGCCACCTGAAGTCACAGCGTGAATGTCAGATCTGTCTCACCTTGCCTCACCCAGTGTCTTGTCTCTGACGAACAAACTCTGTGCATTGGTGCCTATGGTGATGTCACCTTCATTAAGGGACTTGGTTTGCCACCCTGTAATAAGAGGGCTTTGGAAAGATCGGATTCCCTACAGTCTCGGAGTGGGGAGGGTAGGGAGAGCGAAGGACAGGCAGGCACTCTCCCTAAGATGGATGCTGCATGATGTAAGTGGTTGGCTAAAATATCTGGCATGCTTGCAGTTTTAAATCGCCAGCTAAATATTATTAAAAAGATAAAATACACGCAAACTGTGCAGAATGTTAGGGCTGCTGTGTTTACATCCGGGTTTTGATGACTCAAAGACTTACACTTGGGCTTGCTGAAAAGCTCTATTAAAAACACAGCTTTGTGAAAGTCTCCAGGGAACCGGAAGAAAGGGGGAGGGTGTGGCTCGATGCCCCACCCAAGGACAATGTGTTCGGATCTGTGTTCTGGCAGGCATTTAGGGCCTAGGAGGTGCTTAGGGGTTAACCTTCTCTCAGCTTCGGAACCAGATCCGGGAGGGTTAACCTTTTTCCAGAACATTTATTTCACCATCTCACTGACTAGAGGGAGGAGGGAGCGAGAGCCTGCCGCGCTGAGAGGCTGCGGATCACAAGGCCATTCTGATAGCCTCCTGTCCCCATGGCAACTGCAACGGCATTTATCAGTTCCTTCTGCGCACAGGCACAGCAAATCTGCATTGCACATGGCAGGCTTCCAGCATTTCAAATGAAAGAGCACTTTGAACGGCTGCCAAGTTGGGAAGGAGCAGAATTGTCAGGGCTGCTTAAAGCTGGCAGTTTATACAGGGGAGGTTTTCGCTTCCCAGAATCCTTCGGGCCTGGCGAGCTGCCAAGTACTTAGCGGAAGCTAAAAAGTAACTGGCTCCCTCCTCTCCCCTTCCTCCCCCTGCCTATGCCCCCCCCCTCCACGCCATTCACCGCAGTGCTCTCAAAATTTTCCACATGTCCTGTGTCACCAGTGCAGACTGCACAATGAAAACCAGAACGCCGGCTGCCCACGATGGGCTTTTCTTAATAATGGGGGTGGAGGGGCAGGTTAGAATCACAGCCGAATCCCCCTGTACCTGCGGTAACCCCATAACCGCTGGTGGAAATGCATGGTTGTGTGTGTGTGCGCGCGCGCGCGTGCTTTTCAGCCTTAGAAATACAATATAAAAGCAGCCTCCTCGGAAGCATAGACTCCCGAGTGCTGGGGGTGGGAAGTAGAGGATGGGGGCTCGGGTTGCACCACATTTTACAGCTGCATTTAAGCTGGGGATTGGAGGTCTTGCAGGCAAACGCAAGAGCTTGTTTATATCCAGTTTTTCTAAGAGCTGTACGGAAGAGGGTTGTCACTGAGAGTGCAGCTCTTTCTGGAGCTTTCTTTGGATTTCTCAGATGTCACGATGAAAGCAGCTCTGGGGCCACTGCTGAGGGCGGAGTTCCGAGACCATTTTCAATGGAAAGTTTACCAAATACCTTCTGACTGGCGTGCACTGCCTAGAGCACAGGGCTTCTCCTGGCAGACAGTGGAAACTGGCATAGCGTTCACACTGCTGATTTTTTTTTTTTTAAACGAAAATATACACTGAGATCAAGGGCTCAGGCTTTATTTTCCAGCACAAATAGAACGAAAATTGTCTGCTGCTTAGGCTGTTGGATAGAGTTTAGGAAAACTATGTCTGGCATTAATTCCAAAGTGGAGGTTTTTGGTTGAAGGGAGAACCATTAATTTCAGTAAACTGTTTTCACTCGTTCAGACCCTGCTGTGTAAGGACTATTTATTACCTTTCCCTAACCTGATGTCTTCAGAGTTGTAAAGCAAAGAGGAGGGGAACACATCCAGAGTGGAGATGTCTGTATCTTGGATCAAATAGGTTTTGCACCTTCTCTTTGGGAATTATGTTTTATAGGGAATTTTTTATCGCTGGTTTTTATCAGTGCCAATTTTGTTGTTTCTACTTTTTTTAGGGGGATACTGGGGATCAAACCCAGGACCTTGCGCTTGCCAGGCAGGCGGTTAAACCACTGAACTATCTCCCCAGCCCCCAATTTTGTTGTTTTTAAAAATCCATCTTGCAATGAATTACAGAAAAAAAAAAATCCGGATGGAGAGGAATCTGGTGAGGGCAGATACCCATCCCACCTCCTTCGGAAGGGTAGCTCCCTGCCCAAAGGGGTGTTCTGGGTGTCTTTCCCTCAGTTTCCAGGCTGCAGGTCCAGTGCTAAGCCTTGACATGATTCACCCTGAAGAGATCGGGTCTAAAATACACCCAAAAGTCAATTTTGGCATTTGTTCTCTCTTAGGAATTTTACTAGCGGCTTTAGAAAAGCACATAAATTACTTCCCCCTCCCTCTCTTTTTTCCATGCCTTCTTTCATCCCCCAGCCCCCCAGTTCATCTTGATGTCATTTCAAAGAGAAGGATGAAAAGGGGATTTGTCAGGCAGTCCGGTGGTTTGTGAGTGTGTCTTGCCAGGCCCCAACACACACACACACACACACACACACACACACACACACACACACAGAGCCAGCTGAGAATGTAATCAGAATTAAAAGCCAGTCAGTACTATTAAAGCATCAAACGTGAAGACCTGGAGAAGGAGGGGGCCTTGGAGGAGGGGCGATATGGGGGTGGGGTAGGAGTAGGAATGAAATATAATTCAGTCCTTCGCGCTACTTACTAAAATAAAGGAGCAGAGAGGTAGCAGTGGCCTGGATTTGGTCAGTTTATCAAATGTCAAATTTACCGGTCTTTCCTCTTAACCTCCTCCCGGCAACCCCACACGCCCTGCCCTGCCTCGGCACAGCCAAGTCCTGTGCTGTTCCCAAGTGTGATTAATCTCTGGCAGAGGCCAGAAGCAGGAGTAGGTTTCTTGGCTGCCCGTCCTGATAAACAATCTGTTCTTGGGAAGAGTAGGTGAAGGGGACTGTGGGGGGAAGCTGCGGGGTTCGAGTGGGTGTAGGAGGACAGGAGAGGAGGGCGCCGCGGGGCCAGCAGAGCCCCGCCCTCTCGGGACTGCAAGGGCCCCTCCTTCGGGGCGCGTGGTTTTGGGGGTGGATCGGGTTCCTGCTCTTAAGAATGTGAGCAGACGTTTGAGGCTGGCCGTCCCCAACGTGTTGGGGACGTCAGAGGGCCAGCGAGGGCTCGGGGAGGGGCGGAGAGGCGCTCGCACGCCCCGCAGCTCTGGACCTAGGTCGAACGCTCGGGGCAGTGCCGCGGCTCGGAGCCTGCGGGTGGAAAGGAAACCGAGGCAGCTTCGGGGACGGCCGGGTGGGGGCGTTGATGATAAGAAGCAATGTAAAGCGGAACGGAAAAAGCCGGAGACTTCCAAACAAAAGGAGGGACTACTGCGCGGCGTCGGAGGTCGCTGGGATCGAAACTCCGGAGGCAAGGAAGCTAGGCTATGGATTTTGCAACGGGTTTATTGTGTGGGCATCGAGGCAGAAAGCAGCAATGTGTAACAGTGGAGGGGGAGAGTCGGCAGTAAAGGGAAATGAGTGGCTACAAGGCTGCGAACGGCTGGGAAATGTCACCAAGGAGACCGCAGTGGGAACGAATGAAAGACGAATGATCCGCCACCTTTTGGAAAAGGGATATAAAAATATTAATAAAGACGAGAAACCCGCTTTTCAGGTGAAAAGCAAATCCATCCTCCCTCTGTCTTTCCTCCCTGTCAAGCACACAGCACAGCTCTGGTCAGCCGTGCATCTAAGAAGCCCGGGCCAGGATCGCTTTCCTTTGGATTTAATTACATGAAAATGCTGAACAAAAACCCTGTAATTACACCCTTAGTCCCTGCCACTCATGCCCAGCACACTTCCTGACTAGTTTTGTTTTTTAAAGAAGAGGTCATTGGCTCTTTCTTCCAAATTGGCTAAAACAAAAAATAAATAAAAGCCCCGAATAAATCCAGTAACTCTGAGCTTCCCCACCTCTTGGGGAGGGGAAGTCCTTATCGCTCTAGAAAAGATAAGAAGGACCTAACTTAACCTGATACTGTCTTGCTCCAGCTGTTAGCCCAAGAGGCAACCACATCATGTCTGCAGCCCACAGGGCCAGAGATGCTAGACTGGCCACCACCCAAGAGGAAATCTTCCAAGGGCAAGTTAGAGAGGGGGAAGGGCTTAGTATTTGGCCTGGTTTTCCACTGATTTTAGCTGGAAGGGCTGAATGCTGTAAAAGTGACCTGTGACACTGCTGGCCTTTCTACAGCCCTAGGCATTGATACAGAAATTCATAGTGAGCCCCTGAAGGAGGGAGGGTGGGAGGAGCGACTTCAAGATCGACTTGACATTTGACAGGTGAGGAGAGAGAAGCCCACAGAGAATAAATAGATTGTTTCAAGTGGGTCACGTGGCTGGTAGGACTGTTGAACAAGGACAGCCTCTCCTGGTTTTTGGGCTATTGTAGTAGGAAAGTAGGACGCCTAGTAGGAGATGGAAACGTCTAGATTCTGGACTGGAGTAAGTCTGGCTTGATTCATCCTTAGATCCCTAGCATTGAAATAGAAAGTACTGCAGGAGAGATAGCTCAGTAGAATAAGCACTTGCCTGGCAAGTGCAAGGGCCTGAGTTCAATCCCTGGTTCTGCCAAAAAAAATAAGTAAAAAATAAGTACTACCTAGGTGAATCACTGAATGACAAGGAATGGCAAAGGCACATGTTAAGGCACTGAATGGAAGGGTACATAAGCTGTGACATGGAAACCCACCAGGCCACCCAGCAGCCAAATTTAAGCTTTGAAACAATATGTAGGTGGGGCTAGGGGGGATGGCTCAGTGGCATAAGCGCTTCCCTGGCAACTGGCAAGCGCGAGGCCTGAGATCGGGGAGATGGCTCAGTAGTTCAATCCTTGGTTCTGCAAAAAGAAAAAAGAAAAAAAAGAAAGAAAGAATATGTTAAGTAATAAGAATGGTTGTACATCCACTGGGCCCACTGGGGAGCTTAGCCTCCTCTGGGCCTGACCAGAGAGGAAAGTTCAAGGGGCCTCTGGATGGGCCAGGAGGCCACATTGTTCCAGACCTCTCTCCTAGGCTGGCTGTGTTTAAGGGGCCCAGCCTGCCATGCTCACGGGCCCTGACCCAAGCACAAGTTGGGTGCTGTCACAGTCAGTGTGATGTGACTTAGGTGAGAACAAAGGATTGTTACTTGTGTGATAGTGACTCCTCTGGAAAGACACTGCTCGGGGATGTAGCTCAGTGGCACAGCACCTGCCTGGGATGCATGAAACCCTGAGTTTGATTCCCAGAGCTAAGGGGCCAATGAGATGGCTCAGTGGAATAAGTGCTTGCCTGGCAAGCACAGGGGCCTGAGTTCAATCCCCAGTTCCACAAAAAAAAAAAAAAAAAAAAAAGAATAAATTCCCAGAGCCAAAAAAGACAAAACACTTGCTTTTACTTTCCTTCTCCCTTTGTGGTTTGGTCT